TCGAGCAAATGCAGAGAACCTTAAGGCATAAGGAGTGGAGGGAGGTGTGGTGAAGTGTGTGATGGTGTGGTGTGTGGAGGTGTGTCTGTTGGTTAGTTGGTTGGGTGTGTGGAGGGTTCGGGGAGGTGTGGGTGTGTGACGCGTGAAGGGTTTAGGGAGTTGTGGTGGTGAGTGTGGTGCTGTGTGTGGTGTGGACGTGTCATTGTCGTTGGTTGGGTGCGTGGAGGATTTAGGGTGGTGTGCGTGGTGTGGATGTGCTATTGTGGTTGGTTGGGTGCATGGAGAATTCAGGGAGGTGTGGTGGTGTGTGTGGTGATGTTTGTGTAGATGTGTTATTGTGGTGTGTGTAATGGTGTGTGGTGGTGTCTGTGGTGCGTATGATGTGTGTGGTGTGTGGTGTGACCATGTGCATATATTATTGCATTTATAATTATGTAACTTCTTTTTTCATCATAGTAATGAAATGATTAAGACCAAAGAGGCTGGTACACTCGAAATGTGGGACAAAAAAACAAAAATAATATTTTGTGACATTTGCCTCAAAGAGAGCGATCTAGGAAATAGACCTAGAACCTATTTCAACAAGGAAAGTTGACGATATTATCAGAAAATTCAAGGAAAATACAGGTAGAGAGTATGATAGGATGCAATTAAAAAATAAGTGGGATTAGCTTAAGAAGGATTGGAAAATTTGAAAGGAATAGAAATAAGAATATGTCAAATTTCTTTCTGGTGAAGTGAACAATTGATGCTTCCGATGAGTGGTGGGCAGATAGACTTACGGTAAACATATTTGACATGTTCTCTAATTTGGTAAATTTCAATAAATTGTTTTTAAATTGAAGTAGATGTTATGAATTTGTAGTTGATGCCTCCTGCAAAGAAATTTAAACCCAGTGGACTCGATCCTAAGTTGGAAGAGAAGTTGAATCGAATGTTTGGGGGTGTCATCATTACAGAAAACAATGCATGTTCCCCAGTGAGATAAGGTTTGGTGGCACCCCCGAGAACTTTGGAGCCGACCAATCGAGTGAGTCCACCAAAGTCCCCTGCCCGGACCTCCATAAACATGAGCTCTTCTGTTGTTTTAAGTGTCATCGGGTTGAGAATAAAAAAAAAATTTGAGATGTTTTCCTTCGAAGCCAGATATCACAGCTGGTGGCTTAATGCAATGTTAAACCCCACACATCTCAAGCTTCTGTCGAGCATGTCCTGCAAATTATGAATGCAACTAGAGAAAATCCTAAGAATTTGTCGTTGCATTTCTTTGCAATAAAGTTGCTTGAATATACGACCCATAGAGATTTTTTCGTCAAAATGTCTGATGACCGTAGGGTGGCGTATCTACGATATTTTTATAAGCGCGGGGACATTGAGAGACTTTTTATTTATGATCGCTTGGGATCTTTATGTTTGTGTATTGTTTTTCATTTTGCTATGGATATTTTAACTACTTGGGATATGGCTTATTCAGTGATGTTTATATGTTTATATGTTTATTGTATTGTTTGTAATCTTATATGACTGTAGCTAATCCATTGATGCTTCTGCGTTAGTCAGTACGATACTGATCTACATGGATGCAACCAACGAAATGCGCAGAAAGGGAGTTACAGATGTCGTATGTTTAATGTACGAATATTAAAGCTCAATACATAGATCACTCCCATTGCATGACATCCACATATTGAGGACAAATCGGTTGGTGTATTGTTTGCAGGCCACCCAACGAGATTTAGCAATATATTTTGCATGACACAAGCGGTATTTAACAATTTGTTGGAGGAACTACAAAGAAATCATGAACTTCATGGCTCTTCCAGGAAGACTTCGTGAAAGGTGTTGGCGATAACCCTTTATATATCATCGCAAAATGAATTAATACATGTGAGGAGCAATTAGTGATTTCAACACTCCTCTAAAAAATTTATAGATATTTCTCGATAGGGTTGAAGGCACATGTGAGTTTACTTCACAAGTCATAAAATCAATATATTTAATGTTCAAACGAACCCCCACTGAGATTTCACATTATGCAAGGTATATGTCGTTCTCTAAGATAATGTCTTAAATTTATTACATTCAATTTTCCAAAAAAACATTATTACGTAACTCATCGTTATCTTTTCAGAATTATATTGTAGTCGATGGAACACGTGTTGATATACGTGTTCTAAATAATGAGAATATCACATTCATCGGTCGTTGCGGTCCCCGACGTAGAATGTCATGATCGTATGCGACTTGAACATGTGATTCACTTTTGTCATTGCCGATTGGGAGTGCAGTACACATGACATTAGAATTTTCAAAGCTCCAACACGAAATAACATGTGCAACTTCCCACATCCGCTCACAGGTACGTTTGAGACTCGGTTACTATTGCAATTCACTTTTCCCTCAATATTAATCATGCAATACATATCAGGTAAATACTACTTGGTTGATATTGGATATATGTTGGAGCGATGGTATCTCAAGCCTTATCCTAATACGAGATATCATAAACCTGATTTTGAGCGAGGAAATAATGTAACACAAAGCACAAAAAGAAATGTTCAATAAAAGTCATTTCTCCTTACGTGGTGTCATTAAGAATACTTTTGGTGTTTGGAAGAAGAAAAATTATACTTCGCGGTAAATCACCTTACATGTTTCCCAAACAGGTACACATTGTGATTACCATGATTACATTCGGTGGCATCCTTCCCGAAAAATGACTTTCGTGAGGAGAACGAGGATCATGAGCATGTATCTGCCGAGGTATTTGAGTATCGTCTTAGACATTCTTTGTCACAGCTTGAGAATGTTGCTTCCACCTCATGTACTAAACACGTGGAAAGTGCAAGCGATATGGCAGAGTTGAGAAAATAAATTACGAATGCGATAGTAGGAGAATGATTAGAGTATTTATTATATTATTATTTGTGCTTTATTCAATATTATTTTATTTTATTCAGTTTTTATTTATTTTATTTCCTTGTATATTTGATATTGATTGTTTGTACTTTTTATGCTACTTATAAGTGTTTTTTTTCATTTGCATTTCATTTGTTTTTCTTTTGGTGGGTATGAGAGGTTCATGATAAGACGTTTGACCGTATGAGTTCTTCTAGATGGTTTGTTAGTCACTGCTGGTTGGTGTCACATGTGAAATACTAATGAAGGCAAACAAGTTTCTCTCTTCTTTTCGATGCAACAGTTTTCTATATTCTTTTGGATAGCCTTTTTTCGTGATATGCATATGTGACGCACACGAGTATCGTATTACGTCAGTTAAAGGCAACCAAGAAAGATTTTTCTACGCAGTCGAATGTCTTCTTATGGTGACAGATTCATTAGTTGATATACTAAGTTCTCTAAAACCTCACACATGTACAAAACTGTAATTTATTACTTCTTTTATCAAATTCTGCTTATTTATTTTATACAATTCTTGTTTGCTTCCGTTCCTTATATATTTGATATTGATTGATTTAAGTTTTTCACGTTGTTTGTAGGTGTTTTTCTTTTTCCATTTGAATTCAATTTGCTTTTCTTTTGGTCGGTTTGAGAGGTTCATAATGAGACGCTTGACCATATGAGTTCTTCTGGACGGTCAATTTATCGTTATTGGTTGGTGTCACTCGTAAAATCCTATTGAAAGCAATCAAGTTCCTCTCTTCTTTTTTCGGTGATACGTTTTTAAGGTTATTTTTTACACACACGAGCTTGAGATTATATAGGTTAAAGACAGCCAATAACATTTTTTTACAATGTCTGTTGTTTTCTTGTAGTGACAAATTCATTGGCTGGTATACTAATTTCTCTAAGAGCTCACGACCGCACAAACCACACAAAATTGTAATTAATTAATTTTTTTATCAATTTCAACTTGTGTTATGACTAATAGATTGTCTTTTAAAGCAATCATGTAAGATGAGTTCTAGGATTTCTAGGTCATCCGCAAATTACTGTGTTATTGTGGACTTTAGAATTCCCTACTGACTACGGGAGGCAGTTCTGTAGGTGCTCGCGGAGAATCACGGAGACTTGTAACTTCTTCTTGTGTGCTGGCAGTCTGACAAATTCCACTGTCGAGAGTATCGAGAATAGATAGTATCTCTTAAGTACGACGTAGCTCGTGACACACGTCATCTGCATTTTAAAAATAATATTATCATATTATTAAATATTATTTTAATAATTTTTCTTTTATATTAGTAACCATGATACTCACTGTTAAGTGAAGCGTATATGATATTTTTTGTATTGTTCTGAAGTGAATTTTTGTTTTTCAAGTATCAAAAATGTTGTTATGACTGTTCTGTTACAAACAGCATTACTAGACGGGCAGAATGGTCATTTGTCCAGAAACAGTTGTCGCACAGTTGTTTTCAAACTACAAAAAAAACAGACAGTCAGCTTATGCGCAGCAACTTCCTGTAACAACTTCTGCGCAGCAGCTTCCTGTAGCAGCTGCTGCGCAATATCTTATTGATAAGCTACAACTGCCCCAAACATACCCTAAATTGAAACAATACAAGAATTTGGAACAAAATTAGTCGCATGTGAATAGTTGAGAGACCATTTTGGATTTAACCCTCATTGAATTTATCTTATTTTTAATTATTTTCTAGAGAACAAACAATATTTATTATTTCGTGGCATTTTGCTTCTAGGAGAAAGCTCAAATACTATTAAATTCATTTTTTGGTTCATTTCATTCCTTTTGGCTTAGTTCTAGGATTGACAAACAATCTAACATCAATCCTTAATCAATCAAACATGGGACTAGGAACGGTAGTTTTGAAAATAAGCATATGTAATTAAGAATAAATTCTGACAAACTTGGAACTAAAGAAAAATATTTCATGGCAGCTAGAAAATTTTCAAGAAACAAATAAAACCTGCACCTTTCAAAAAATGATGAATATGAAGTAACAAAAAGGCTCCCAAAGCAATGCAGCTAAAGAGAAGCCAATAATACTATGAAAGATAACGATCCTCAAGAATATTACCTTCATTATGGGATCAAAAAGCAAACATGACATCAGCGTTTGTCGATGCTTCCTGCACACATATTTGTTTCAATTAATAAAAATTTAGCATCATAAATATAGCATAACACAATCAAAAGAAGTCTTAGAATCTAACCTAGGTTGCAAAACATCACTCTCAGGCAAAAGAAGAGTCCACAGCGAAGTAATTGATTTAGGCTCAGCAATACAGAGATCCTATAGAAGACAAGTAACAATCGATAAATAAACATCCCAGACAACAATCAAGTATAATACTATAATGATAAAGAAGACCAACAAAACTATATCCCCTTGTTGATCTTAGAAAAATAACTAGAATGGGATACTGACAAGACTGCAAATATTAAAAAGGAAAAATAAAAGAAAGAAGAGAAGGAATGACTTGGGGCCCATTTGGGGCAGTTTATTTGGTGCGGCGCGCTCTTAAAACGCCGGATGGAATGTTTGAAAACACTGGCGCAGTCACTTTTCTTAAAAATTTATGTTAAATGTGGGCCACGGGATCGACCCCGCAGCCTGAGTTTTCTCGCAGACATATTACTATAATAGCCTCTCACGCTCCCCTCTCACCGCTGCTCTCTCTCTCTCACGTTTCTTATGCCCTCGTCCTTCTCAATTGTCTCTCTTGATCGCTCCTCTCTCGTGCCTCTCTCTGGTGGCAACGGGTTGCCTCTCATTTCCCTCCTCCCTCTGATCTCTAATAAGCAATGGGTTGTCTCTCAACTCTCCCTCTTCCCTTCGATCTCCGGCTCTCTCCCTCTATTTACTGTGCTCTCCATCTTCCCACGATATCACATATTCTATTTCTATGGAATGAATTTCTCTTTACAATTTGTGGCTTTCTCATTTTTGAATTGAAGTGAAATTTTGGATTTTGCTATTTCTGGCTTTTTTTTTTGCGGTTTGAAGTGAGAATTTGGATTTTGTAATTTGTAGTTTTCTCTTTATGATTTAGAATTTAGATTTTGCGAATTTGTGATTGAATGTGATATGGAATGGGGTTTTGTCTTTCCCTTTGATGTTTGAGTGAGAATTTGTGAAATGATTGAAAGAGGATGCTTGATTTGTTGATAACAATGTTTTGTTTGCCCCGTATGTAATTGCTTCAAATGAAAAATATGGGATGGAGTTTTATCATTACCTTCAACATTTGAGTGAGTTTCAAAAATGAATGAAAAAGCATGCTTGATTTGTAGATAGCAATGTTTTCGGGAAATTACAAACAGGGTGCCCAAAACCAATGCATTTACGCTTGCCACAATCAAACAATTGTGAATTTGGTAAAAATGAAAAATATGGGTTGGGGTTTTATCATTACCTTCGATGTTTGAGGGAGACTTTGAAAAATGGATGAAAGAGTGAGATTGATTTGTACATAAAAATGTTTTTGGTAAATTACATACATGACACACAAAACTGATGCATTTATTCTTAACACAATTAAATCATTATGAATTTATTAAAAATGAAAAATATGGGATGGGTTTTATTATAACCTTTGATGTTTGAGTGAGAGTTTCACAAATGGCTGAAAGAGGGTGTTTGATTTGTTGATTCCAATGTTTCAGGTGCCCTACATGTAGTATCTTTAAATGAAAAATATGGAATGGGGTTTATCTTTACCTTTGATGTTGGAGTAAGAATTTGAAAAATGGTTGAAAGAAGGTATTTGATTTACTGATAGCAATGTTTTGGGTGTCATGTATGTAATATCCTCAAATGAAAAATGTGTTTGATTTGTTGTTAGCAGTGTTTCGGGTGTCCTGTATGCAGTATCCTTAAATGAAAAATATAATGTGGGGTTTTAACTTTACCTTTAATGTTTGAGTGAGAATTTGAAAAAATGGCTGAAAGAGGGTGCTTGATTTGTTGATAGCAATGTTTTGAGTGCCCTGTATGTAGTAGCCTCAAATGAAAAATATGGAATGAAGCGGGTGGGGTTTTATCTTTCTTTATCTTTGATGTTTGAGTGAGAATTTGACAAATGGCTGAAAGAGGGTGCTTGATTTATTGATAGCAATGTTTCGGGTGCCCTGTATGTAACTGCAACAAATGAAAAATATGGAGTAGGATTTTATATTTACCTTTGATGTTTGGTGGTGGTGTAGGTTGGCTTGTGTGTGGAGGTGGTGGTCTTGCGGAGGTGGTTGTTGGTGTGTGGTTGTGGTTGTGGTTGTGGTTGTGTTAGAGAATATGTTGGTGGATTTGTAAAGGTGATGGTGTTATGCGGGTGGTGGTTGGTGTGTGGATGTGTTTGTGCAGAGGTGTTGGTGGTGGTGTTTTGAATGTGTTGGTGTGTGGAGATGCTTGTGAGTAGAGGTGTTTGTGTGTGTAGCTAGCGGCAGTGGTGATGTGTAGGTGGTGTTGTAGTGTGGTGTGGAGGGGCAATGGTGATGATATTGTGGCATTCCTTTTTTTTTTTTTTGAGTTGCAATATTGTGACATTCTCATTTATATTAATTAGTTTTTTTCGTGCTAGTAACACATTAGTTAAGAAAAAAGTGACTCGTCCATCTGCAATGTGAGATAAAAAAGACAATTAATATTTTGTGGCATTTGCCTCAAGGAGATCGAATTAAGAAATACACTAACAACCTATTCCAACAAGGAAGGCTAGCGAAATATTATTAGAAATTCAGAAAAAGTATAAGTTGACGTATGTAAGATGCAGTTAAAAAATAAGTGAGATTAGCTAAAGAATGATTGAAAATCAAGAAAGGATTGAAGCAAAAATCAACAGGCTTAGGGTAAAATCTGGTAAAGCAAACAATTAATGCTTCCGAGGAGTGCTGGGCAGAGAGACTTTTGATGAGTATTTTTAAAATGTCTCATATTTTTTGTCAATTTTTAATTTATTTTCAAATCTAACATGTTATATGAATTTGTAAGTGGTGTCTGCTGCAAAAAAACTTCAATATAGTGGAATTGATCCTAAGCTGGAGTAGAAGTTGAATCGTATGTTTAGAGATATCGTGGCAACGGACAACAATGCATGTGCCACCAATGAAGAGAGGTTTGTTGGCATCTCCGGAAATTTGGGAGTTGATCAAACAGATGATTCCAATGAAAGCCCCAACCCGAACCTCCATAAAGTTGAATCCACGATCCAGTCAAAGCATCCTCGAGTTGAAAAAAGAGGGAGTTGCTTCCCTTATAAGCCAAATCTCACAGTTGGTGGTTTTATGCACCAATGACCATGGTCAATCACAAGCAACTTCACTCCAGCAAGTTATGCAAATTCTGGATGCAACTCCAAAAATTTACAAGGACGTATCGTTGTATTTGTTTTCTATCAAGTTGCTTGAAGATTCGACCCGAAGAGATTTTTTTCATAACGATAACTACTAATCGTAGGGTCTTACCTACGTTATTTTTATATGGGAGCGGTGGCATTTGCGGGACACTTTTTTTTACTAGATTCTTTTGAGACATTTCTACTTGTTTATGGTTTTTCATGATGCTTTGGACGTGCCACTCGAGTATTTTTCATTCCTCCCTATGTTTTCAATTTACGTCTGTACGTAATTATGTTTGTGTGTTAGCCACTTCGATACCGAAATACATTGATGCAATTAGAGAAAGGCACAGAAGGAGAGTTGCAGCTGCAGTATGTCTGATGTAAGAATATTATAACTCGTACATAGTGTTCCTCTTACATGACATCTTCATATATTGGCGACAAATGTTGAGAAGTTATTTGCGAGTCACCCAACGAGATTTAGCAATATATTTCGCATGACAGACAGTATTCATTGATCTGTTGAAAGAACTACACAAAAATTTTGGACGTTGTGGCTCATCCAGAACGACTTAATGAGAGAGATTAGTCATAATCCTCTACATATTATCGCAGAATGAATCAATGCGAGGAGTTATGGAGCAATTTCAGCACTCTTTCGAAATGATTTACAGACACTTCAAAGTAGGGTTGAATGCACTTGTCACTTTTTCTTTTTAAATTATAAAGTCAACAGGTCCTATATTCGAACAGACCCACACAAAGATTTTGCACGATGCACGGTATATGTAATACTTTAAGGCAATTTTTTTCTATTTAATACATTCAATTTTTATATAAATATCGTAATTATGTAACCATTCGTTGTCTTTTTAGAAGTGTATTGGAGCAATCAATAAACACACGTTTATGCACGTATTCCAAATAATGAGAAGATCACATTCATTGGTTGTTGTGGATCCCCGATGCAAAATGTCATGGCGGTATGAAACTTCAACATGTGCTTCAAATTGTCATGGTCAGTTGAGAGGGCAATACATATGATAATCAAATATTCAAATCTGCAAAACTGAATAATAAATATAACTTCTCACATCCACCGACAGATTTGCTTGATGCTAAGCAACTCTCATAATTTTGTTTTCCTTCAATACCATTCATTCAATTCATATCACGTAAATACTATTTAGTCGATGTTGGGTATCTGTTGCAACGAGTGTATCTCAAACTCTATCCTGATGCGAGATACCACATACATGATTTTAAGTTAACCACAAATATCGCGCGAGGCAGAAAGGAAATGTTCAACAAAAGACATTCATCCTTCCACAGTGTTATTGAGATTACTTTTGATGTTTTGAAGAAGAAATGAGTTATACTTCAAAATATGTCATCTTACACATTTCCCAAACAAATGCAGATTGTGATTGTCACGATAGCTCTCCACAATTATATTTGACGACTTCTAGTAACGACATCGACTTTCGTAGGGAGGACTAAAATCATGAACATGTTCTGCAGAGATGTGAGTATCGTCTTAAACAGACTTTATTACATGCCAAAAAAAGATGTTCCTGACATCTGCACTAAAGACGAGGAAGGTGCAAGTGATATGGCAGTGTTGAGAGAACGAATTACGAATGCACTAATTGAAAAGTGATTCAAGAGAATGTTAATTTTTGTCATATTATTAACTGTAATGGTTGTTAAATACATTCACTATTTATTGTATAGCTATTTTATACAGTTCATGTTTATTTATGTTCCTTGTATATTTGTTATTTATTGTCTTGGTTTTTTACGCAATTTGTATGTGTTTTTTTTCCTTTTGCATTTTTTTTTCTTTTAGTGAGTTTTGGAGATCTATGATGAGATGTTTAACTTTATGGGTTCTTCTAGATGGCTTGTAAATTACTATTAGTTGGTGTTTTATGTGAAAGCCTAATGAAGTCAACCA